TGATCCTATGAGATTCAATTATGGGGTATTGGTTAAATGTTCAATTTGATTAAGATTCGAATTTTTCAGTCAAGAATTCGAAGAATACCTAATATTTAAAAGCTTCGTTTTACGTCTTATAAAAATAATTCATTTATATCTTAAAATATAAAACTTAAAAGAATTAAAGAAACTGCTAAACAGACATAGTTAAAATATCACTCAAATGGTTTTCTGTTTGCTGATGAGTTTCAGATCTCCTAAAAGTTCCTATGCGGGTTTGCATAAAAAAAAATGGCTAAATTAATGGACCAATCATGGATCACCAAATCATGTTTAAGGGACCATAAGCTCACTTTTGATTCATTAAATATTTAATGATTGTTTGTACAACCCGGCACTAATGTATCTAATAAGCGTCTAAAACGACAATGTTGCAGTCCCGCAGAGAAATTTTTAATTAATATTCCTTCTCGATCACAATACAATAAAAATATTTATCCGGAAGATTTCAAATTAATTCTATATTTTATATTTTATTACTATTGTACTTATTTCAAAACCATTCTTTTTTAATCAGAACCCTTATTATAAATTAAATAAGTGAATAAATATTTGTATTTAAGTTATTATTTTCATAGTGATTTTAGATTATTTTTTTTTTGAAGCACTGTGAAATAAATGTATTATACTATTATAAAGAAGTTGGTAGGGCGGTAGGTACTATGATAATGTTTGTACGAATGGTATGTCATATTTATTGTAACCATAATAAGACTGGAAGAATTTAAGCGAGGTAATCCATTTCTATAAACGGTGTATATAATGAATTCTTAGCATATTTTAATTACAATTCATTATTCTACAACTTAAAGTTCTTTACTTTGTGTTACTAGAATTTTGTAGTTTTAATTAATTACTTAATTTTAAATGCAATCCTACAAAGTCGTAATTTATCTTCTTTTGAATCCATAAATTATTAGATGATACTAATAAGTTTAAAAATTTAAAATTTAAATAAACTTAGTTTGAAAAATTTTAAAAACAAAATAATAATGTACCAAGAATACGAGTTTAATACAGAATATATAATATTATACACCGTTTTATTAAATAATAATTTAAAAAAATGAATTATTGTTTAATACCTACTTAAATATTTTATAAATTAAATTTCTAAGCCACCAGAAGTATAAAAAATCAAATTAGAGACAATGGTTTATGTTAAATGATTAGGTATATGTACATTTAATACTTCTAATTGAATATAATTTATAAAAATATTCCATCTAAATTAAACTACAAGTATGTATACACAAATATTAATATACAATATTGGTTATTGGTTAATAAAACAAAAATAAGATATACGAGTACAGTGTGTTCGTCAATTTAGGGAACACTGTATTTCTCGGCCGGATTATATAGAAATAAATCGATTTTTTTTACAGGTTAAAAGTATATAAGTACACATTTCAGTAAAATGTCGTATTTTTAACCCTCTCGGTACGCGTATGTGAGTAAAACTTGCATTTTTTAAAATGGCAACCGGTATTTTTAAGCCATTTTGATCTATTAATCATTTTTTTAAAACCAAAATTGACTGAATAAGAGCCATTTAAATGTTAATAAATAATACATTTTTACGATTCTTTAAATGCACAAAACCATTTATAATTATTTATTATTGGTTACTTTTTGAATATTTGTACGAATTTTTTTAAGTGTTATAAACAATATTAACATAATATGGTTAATGGGTATACAATTATTTATTAAAAATCAATTACAACAGACAACAGCTATTTTATAATTACACAATGAATTAAATAAATTGTTGAAAGTTTGCTCAGTGATTGTCGATGCATAATTGAAAATGTTGTAGACATGCTTCATTAGTTGCTGACATTATATTTGATTTTCTGTGTGGTTAGGTACACGCAACTACGATTTTATACCCATATTATATTAATCTTGTTTATAACACGTACAAATATTTAAATAGTAACCAATAATAAATAATTATAAATGGTTTTATGCATTTTAATGAACCGTAAAAGTGTATTATTTATTAAAACTGAAATGGCTCTCATTCAGTCAATTTTGGTTTTAGAGCCATGGTTAAAGGGTTAAAATGACTTAAAAAATCAGTCTTTCCGAATTTGGTATCAACAATACGAATTGCCATTTGAAAAAATGCTAGTTCTATTGATCATACTCGTGCCGATAGTGTAAAAAATTTGAAATTCATCTGAAAATGTGTATTTATATATTAGCTTGTAAAAAAAATTATTCCAATAAAATCCAGCCGAGAAATTTAGTGTTCCCTAAATTGTATTTTTATATTAAATAGTATTTCCGAAACGCTAATTACCCTAGAAAATGTAATAATAATTTAATAGAGCATCTATGCATAAGTTTTGAAATCGTAATAAAATAATATAGACTACCTATGATTAAAAATAATACTTTTCAAAAATATTTTCACCAAATTCAATATATTTAAAATTTCTTAATTTCTTAATATCATTTAATATGATAAATTAAATATTTTTTAAAAATGTATTGTTTAAAAATAACTTTTTTTGAGTCTTATTTGGAGAATTTGTATTTTATTTTGATTTAAGATAATACTTTTAAATACTGATGGAGTCACTCTGTTGTATAGTATATTTTGAGTCTATCATGTCATATACAAGGACATTATTACAGCTTTAACATACGATGTATTGTATTATAATACGGTCATTACGGATGTGTTGCATTTGAATTCAATGATAAATCATAACATATAAAATCAACATTCTCAGCGGCGACGTCCTACCTCAATTTTTAAGCATGTTGTTTAATTAATTTATATTAATTAGTAATTACTGTTAGAAATTTATTTCTATATTGGCATAAACGCTAAAAATATCACAATATTTTATTATATTATTAATTATTATAATATTATATTACACATTATTGTTACTTATAAGTCAATATTGCATAGTTCTTAAAATTAATCTAAATATTTTGAACATTTTTTATATTATTGTACAAAATGATGATTCAAGTCATTGTGAAAATTATTTATACTTATTTATTGTTTTAAATGACCAAGTACTGGACTAATATTTCTTTCAATTATAACAATCCATGTGCTAAAATTTTAAACTTTGTAGCACATTGACTTATGAAAAATGTATGGGAATAATACTAGAATTTAAAAAAAAAGTTAAGCTTCAATTAACTCTAAAATTCTAGCAAGACCAACTTATGTGAAATCTTGTATTATATTTTCAAGTATTATAACTAATAAGTATCGATGTTAAAAACTGAATGCATTAATTACAGAATAATCATCAAATTTTTATAAAATTTGACGACTTTTGTAAAAATTTGAACTACAAAATGAATGTGGATTTACTCTCAATTTTTTTAAACTTAAATGAAAACAATAAACCGTGAATTTCGAATTAAATTTTCAAGCTTTTTGAAAGAGTATAAACATTTTGATCAGAATTTAAAGGAAAACAAATTTTAAATGTTCATTAATATTTCAAAAGAGACAATTTTAGTATCATGTCTAGAAAATGGGTATTGTATCAATACTCAATTTTCGTTTTACCGTAACTTTTTCTAGTTTTTCCCAATGATTAATAAAAGTAAATTTTCTACCTCCTGAAAGTACCTACAGGCTACCAACTAGGTCCAATTCACTACAAGAAACCCCCTGGATATTATAAGTTGAAGATTGTAGGATTATAACTATTTCAAAACTCAAAAATCACAAGACGGATAAAAGAAATAAAAATGATATGTAAAACACGTAACCATTGTAAAATCAATACATTTATCACTCCACTTAGAATCTAAAGTTAAAAACCTCGTTGAGTTTTTAAACTAAGAAACGCAAACATATAAGGTGGAATATACTGAGTAAAATAATTATAATATATTAATGAATTGATCATTCTAGTTTTTAATTTTTAAAAATATTTATTTTAAATGATTTTAGAACAAATATTTAGACGAAATAACTAAACATTACTAACCCTTTTTTTGCCACCTTTTTTACAGTCATTTAATTTTGAGATATATTATTTCATTCAACTAACGTTTATTTTTTTTTATATCGATACACTTAAATATCGTTACGCTGTTTTGGTATAGTTAACTATGTACGTGTTCTGTATAACGATTCATAAAAGCAAATTTAATGAAAAATAAATAACTATTAATACATATAGGTATAGAATAAATATTTTAGAAATTAAAAAGGTATTTAACAATGGTAAACCAACAATTTAATTATAACATGATTAACGAATCAACCAAACTTAAATAGATTATAAGATTATAACATACAATGGGGTTTTGAATTTAAAAATTAAATTGTTATTTTCAAACACATGGCGGTGTTTAAGTTCAATTTGAGTAATTGATATTGATTATTATTTATGAATATAATATATTACACACATTAATACATTATTTTTTACTAAGTTTAATTAACGCCATGGATACATTTAATGAAATTTGTTCTTTAATTAAATATTTTTTTTTAGCGGGTAATTTTTTTTTTTTTGTATTTTATATCTAGAAATCGATTGATTCCAAACATATTCTATTCATACTTTATTATAATTAATAATTTTTTTTTTTTTTAGAAATTTGATTTATAGTATTTTATTCACTAGCTGCCGCAGGTATTGAATCATACAAATAAGTCTAAAGGTGACTTTGAGTAGGTATTTTATAAAATAATTGTATTAAATCCTTATGCAAACGTTTGTAAGTAAAAATTGTGTTTTTAAATAATTCGAGGTCGATTCAACAGAATTTACTTCGGTAAATCTTTTACTAAATCGTTATACCGCAAAAACAACAATACAACACACGAGCAACAACAATCAAACGTAAAACGTAGCTAATCGTCGCTACCGAAATCCGTACCGTAACGGCGCAGTAGAATAAAAAAAAAAAAAAAACGAATCTATACTATGTAAAACAATAATATCGTAATCGGCCCAAACCTCGAGTAGGCAGGCCAGGGCGGCCAGGATCGTTGCGGCTCTCATCGGGTCTCCTGCCGACGGTTGGGCTGCACTTGCTTGTGGCTGATGACGACAGACGACGACAATGATGCGGCCGTGACCGTGTACCACCGGCGATTTGCGGCGTGAATACTTTGTGACGTCTCCGCGGCCGAATCCCGCTCATTTATCTGCGGCGGGACCCGCTGGGACGCAAGCGCCTCCCGGCATCGCGTGGCCGCGCAAAAAAGCGATGCGAACACCGGAGGAACACACGCAAGCGCGCGGCCCACTCACGCCTACGCGAGTATTACGGGAAATCGTGTGTGTCTGTAGGTATGCACATACCGTGTTGGAAACGATTCTAACTATACAATATTATTTATATATATATACACCTATTAATCATATATGGGGTATTGGGGTGAACACGTTTCGTTGGTTTCGACAGGCATGTCGTGCGGGGGGTGGTGAGTCGACCAACGGCGAAACGAGAGAGGTATATCATAATTATTATGTAATGATAAGGAGAAAAACCGAATAAAATAATGATATTTCACCTGCAATAAAAATGTATCGAAAGAATCGTATAGTTCTCATAATATGATATATTGCAGTATACGCGTAGGAATATAAGCAATATTATCGTCACTTTCCGCGGCGGAAAATTATTGCCCCGAGGAGACCCCGAGACTCTGGTTGCACGACATAATATATACATATTTATATATATATATATTATGTTGTATAGGTCGCGTTATTATACGACGCGATAGACCTCGTTATGGTGCGGTGAAATGGATCGTTAATTGAACGTCGGATATCGTAAGATACTACATAATATAGCGATTTAGGACATATTTCATATTATGAGTATGATATGTATTACTTACATACATAAAACTTATATAAAACGAATAAGAAATGACAAAAAAAAATAATTGCTAAAACTTGATTATAATTAACTTACTAATGTGCAATAACTAATAACACTTTTGGTTGCTGATTTGGTTTTAAATATATAATGAACAATAATCATTTAATATTAGGATTAAAAAAAATTATAAGAATAATACTTATTATGAAGGAGCGGATTTAAATGCTCTAAAAATCAAGAAAAATTCCTTAAAAATACATATGAATGCAATATAAAACTTTTAAAAAAATAGTTAAAAAATATTCGAAGGTTCAGAAAAAAATGCAACTTGCTTTGAAATCAGCTCTTTACTTATTACTTATACCAACTATAGCAAATTAATAACATTTATTAGTTACTTCTATTACATACTGTGAATATATCGTTTAAATGTAAGCTCGTGTGGAAGTGACGAAGAAACATATAAGACATTTTCGGGAAAAGAAGATAATATTGCATGGTTCAATTAATTGTTGCTGAAAAGTTTGACGGTTGTATTTGAATAATTGTTTTCAATCACTGTTAATTGTGGTGGAATTCGCAATTAGAGTATACCTAGCTATATTAATTCAAAAAAATAATTTATCCATTAAACTAGAAAAATTGAGCATGTTATGAAGCAAACTGAAAAATATTATTAAATAATTGAGATAATGAATATTAACCAGAAAAGAGAACTAGTTGTATCATTTTTCATCGTAATATGTTTTAAAATTTTAATTTAGAAGACAATATTATGTTAAGACATTAGGGATTTTTAAGTAACTTAAATGGTATTGACTACACTGCATTTTACTACTAATGTTAACATTTTTGATAGGGAATAAAAAAACTCTCCGCGGGATAAGTAATGCAAGACATTTGTTCAATAAATAAATACATTTTTTACATTGAACTTTTTTTTAAATAGATACTTATTAAATTTAGATTTTGTAGCTTAAAAAGTACAGTGGCTGGTAAGGTTCTACAAAATAATTAATTCAGAAGACTTTATATAACTAAATTTAAATAGTAACTATTAATTTCAAATAGGATAATTAATATTGTATTATTATCTAAAACTTATTTTGATCATATTACTATGGATTTATGTTCTAGTAAAATCATTTTTTTTTTCAATATATAATTTTCAATAAAAAGAAAATTCATTAAAATATTATATTTATATACAATATCCATAGGTAGGTACAGCGCAACTTAATATTGCAATTAAATTTAAGTCTATCATCTATGCATAAATTATAAATAATTAGTAGATACCTATAGTTAAATGAAAAAGAAGCTGTGACAAAAAAAATTATTTTAGAGAAATGCATTTTTTTTTCAATATATAATTTTCAATAAAAAGAAAATTCATTAAAATATTATATTTATATACAATATCCATAGGTAGGTACAGCGCAACTTA